CCCAGACCTTCAAAGCCTAAACAAAGAATAGTCTTTTCGAAGAACTAAACTTTTGATGTTACCGCCTCCCTGCACCACCGTGCACCGCATGCTCAGGAGACTTCACTGCGTTGTTCGTCCAGATGTGGCCACTGTGGCCCAACGTAGGCCACAGGGCTACTCACTGGGGTCATGACCACCATCCATGACAACCCATAGGCCAGAGTCCAACAACATGGTTTGCAAAACGTCACTATAACATACTAACTTTACTTTTTTTCACTACTTGATCCAAGCATTGGTCTTGCCAAGCAATGGGACCATGCGGAAAGCCTTACTCCAGGGTTGGGTGCTCAGCATTTGTTGTTTTTAGGAGTTTGGCTTCCAAGCGGTTGAAGCTCTGGGTGAGTATTGTGATGTGGTGGGAGTGGTGATAGCACCGGGCCAAGGACATCCGTCAATCCCGTCTACACCTTCTTTGGATGGTGCCTCTGATGATGAATCTTCTGAAGGCTGATTCTGTCTGAGTGCATGCATATGGAAGTTATTTTGATAAGCTGGCATGCACAGAAACCTGGTGTGAGCTTGATCAATCTCTGCAGCCCTTTTTTTCTTGTGCGAGCTGGTACGGCTCAGCTGACACCGCTCGGTATGGCCTCACGTGATCGATCACGTGAGCGCATCTACATCTTGCAGGCTTGCTAGCTAGAACAAATCATGCATGAATGTGTGGCCCAAGTTCAGATGCGGAGGCTTTCTACAGTGATTCTACAGGGACTTCGTGACGGATGACTTCATCAAAAAGCGGAAGCGAGATATCAAGGAAAAGACTGGCAAGAAAAACGCCGTTTACCCGGCATGTTTTATTCTTTGCCAAGCCACATGATATGCACAGTCAAGCAACCGTCAGTGACATCGATCGCACCTGCGGAGTGTGCTAGGCCTTCTCGGTCGTTGATGTCAGTGCCAAACACATCTCAGAAGTCGAGGAGTGTTGACTTTTGTGAGCACAATAACTAGAACTGCAGTACTGTTGGATCAAAGCCAGATCGTTTTTTTGAAATTATGCTGTGCCTGTGCCTGAGCGATTTGTCAGGCGGAACGACAGGTGAACTATGAGTTTACTGCGGCATATCTTGCCCAATTCGTTGGTGACTTGCCCCTTCAGAAAGAAGTTGAGGCCTGAAACAAAACATGTTAATCAAAATTAGGTCACGCAGTGATATGATGCATGCATGCATGGGTGTGTGCATGCAAATAGATTTATCGGAAACAATACCGCTACTGTGGGCAGGGAGTTCTCTATGAGCTCTCAGTCAACAAGAAGCTGAACAACTTTACCTCCAAAGCTCAACATCAAGCCGGTTGCCCAAATTTGCAAAAAGATACCGCTTTCAAATGTTTCTGCCCGGTACCTTTGGATTCCAGGCCTGGGCAATGGTGGAAGCTGGTCTCCACCGGGCGCTGGCATCCTATGTGATGAACCGGTTCCAGCGCACACAAAAGTCCAGGACAAGTGTTACTCAGTCCGTTGCATATGTTGGTTCTGATTTCCCGCAGGAAGTCGCATGGACGTATGGAATCACTGAAGACATTGGTCAAAATTCGGTTGGAGGAGCGCCCAGTCTTGACCATGATCAGCTTAGATAAGTTTTTAGGATTGTCATGTCCAAGTATTGCACTGTCACAGGAACTTGGCCTTCTCACTGCGAGGGGCCGGAAGATGCCGACCAGGGGGCGGTCAACGGCACCGAATGCAAAGAAGACTCAGGCCATGAGTTGAAGTTGAACCACTTAAATCAAGCACAAGTCTTGTGGTGCTTTCTGAAAGAATGGTAATAGATGTAATAGTGACATGAACGTTAGCAGTCTTATCAGTAGCAACATAATTTATGCAGGTGATTGATCCGATGGAAGCAGACTCCCAAGTTCCAGAAGAGGCTCGAGTTAGATCATGCACTCCAATAAAATGCATTTCCAAAAACAGCCTATCGATATAGAGATTGTCGCTTGTATGATTCTATGTCATGGACCCAAACGCTCAGATTTGCAATGATGATGATGATCCTATGCACTACATGGAGGGTGGAGAGCAGGGGGAAGAAGAGATAGGCTCGGAGGAGGACGACGATTGCATTGAGCCTGTTGAAATTCATGAGCTGCCCTCCGAAGAACCTCCCAAAGCCGCGCCCCCCAGCGAGCCTCCTGCCGCCAAATCTGCCGGCGATGCTGCGATGGTTGACTCTGATGCTGAGACCTCAGGGAAGGTGAAAGGAACCTTTCAGGACCATGTTCTGCTATATTACAACGATCAATATTTATTTCATTGATGACAGCTGTGTCAAACATATGTGTCAAACATTTATCAAATTCTGAAAATATTTTGGCTACGGCCAGTGCTGCTTCCTCATGCAAGTATATCGCTTAAGAAGCGCTGTGTTAATCTTTCCGGATAAGTAATGCAACCGATCGATCGCAAAATCTCGCAAACATGAATGAACGCAGGATACAAGACCAATGTTGGCAAGCATGCCGGAAGCAGCAGCAGATTCGCTTGAGCAGCAGGCTCTAAACGCATGCAGGGATCTTGAGAGAAAGATTAGCACGAACAACATTGACTTGATCGAAGCCCAACGGGCTTTGAAAAAAGCCGCCAATGATGCCCTCAACGAGGAAGATCCAGACCGTGATTACAAAGATGAACATGACAGCGACGCAGAGGGTGAACAAAAAAAGCGTGGTAGAGGAAGGGGAAGGGGAAGGGGAAGGAGTGAAGGCAGAGGCCGTGGTCGTGGAAGAAAAGCGCATGATGAACATGAACAGGACCGGCAAATTCAGCGTATCATAAGCTTAAGTGCTTGCTAGCTAAATGCCCATATTGAGTGCGCAATGCCAAGCACTGTTCTCCATTTGGAGGCCGGAGGTTTGTCGAACCATGTTTGCGACCTGCAGGACGCGAATCAGGGTGGCATGCAACCCCCCAAGAAGAGAGCCCGTGCTTCTCCACCAAAGGAGCAACCTCAGGCACCGCCTGTTGCACCGCCCG